TAGGATTTAGTTTCCTGGATTCCCAAATGCATGCTCTTCCCACTGTATCCTGGAGGACTTTCACCTTGGGAGTGGCATTTTGGTGCAGTATTTGTGTCGAGAACCCCGTCCCTTTGTTATGGTAGTATGCACTAAACCCTATTATTGTCAAGGAACAAGCGTTTGCAGGTCATCTTAAGAAACAAGTATTGTTAGCAAAGATACACACTTTCCTATGTCTCCAAATGGTGAATTCCAACTCGGATGTGGCAGTTTCAAAATCGGAAGTTCTTGACCTCAGATTGCAGTATTGCCTCACAGCCGGAAGCAGTTTATGGCGTGGAGTAGCTTAGAGTCATCTGAACCATTTCATACATGTTGTGTCAGTTGGCTGCATTCTTACAACAGCCTGGGGGGCAGGTAAGGAAATTACCATCTTTATTTTTCAGGTGAGTAAACACAGGCTCAGATGCTCAAAAAGTAACACTCAGTGAACAGTGTATTGGGTGAATGACTGTACCCACTCCATGATGTGGAGACCTAGTCATTGGTCCATGGTCATCCATTCTCTGACTTGGTTACCAGCCTTGGAGCCCCCATCTCTGTATACTGTATTGTCTAGCATAACTTCCAATCCATTAATCACCTTGGGTGTAGTGGATTCAAAGTAGGCATTAGTGGTCTCTCATTATGCTCTAACAGAAGAGTCATGTTCTAAGCAAATCTTTTATAGTAAGTAGCATGTTGAAGTGACTCAGAGTGCCTGAGGTTTTCTTTCTTTCTTTCTTTTTTAAATTTAGAGGCAGATTTGGAATTAAAAATATCTTGATCAAAATCCTCTTGCTAACCAGCCACAGTGGCTCATGCCTGTAGTCCCAGTGGCCTGAGAAGCTGAGGCAGGAGGATTGCAAGTTCAAAGCCAGCTTAGCAATTTAGTGAGGACCTAGGCAACTTAGGAAGACCATGTCTTTAAATAAAAAATAAAAAAGACTGGAGATGTGGCTCAGTGGTTGAGTGTCCCTGGGTTCAATCTCTGGTATCTCCCTACCAAAACAAACAAAAAATCCTATTGTTTCCCCTAATTCAGTATGTTTCCATGAAGGCAGCACGCCTGGTGTCTAGTTCTACTCTGACATTTATTGGCCATCCAACTTTGCACAAGGTATTGTCTCCATTGTAAAATGGCCTAATGATACCACTACATAACATTGAGCAGTAATACGAATTTAAATATATCTACACACCATGCCTGGCCTATAGTAGGTACTAGAGAAATGGTAACCATTTTTATTTAAGGTGACAGTTTTAGTCATTTTTTTTTTGTTGCTATGACTAAAAGACCTGACAAGTACAATTGAGAGGAGGACAAGTTTATCTTGGTTCATGGTTTCAGAGGTTCAGTCCATGGTCAGCCACCTCCATAGCTCTGGGCCCAAGGTGAGGCAGAACATCATGGCAGAAGGGTGTGGGGGAGGGAGTTAGATGGGGACATGACAACTAGGAAGCAGAAAGACAGACAGCTTAGTTCACTAGAGACAAAATATAAACCCCAAAGTGACACCCCTGACTACTTTCTCTAGCCACACCCTACCTGACTCCAGTTACCAGCTATTGATCCATATCAGTGGATTAATCCACTGATTATAAAGCTCTCATAACACAATCATTTCTCCTCTGAATAATTCTTGCGTTGTTTCAGACATGAGCTTTTGGGGGACTCTCGGTATCTGAACCATAATAGTGACCAACAAATTGATTTCTTGAGGTTCACTATGCTCTCTTCCGATGACAGAGGGTAACCATGACTTCATAGGAAAGGAACTGGGTTAGGCTGTTTTGTCCAGTCAACAGGAAGCAAACTCAGAGAGTCTACAGACCAGCTCTCCTCAGACCTCTGAGAACCATCTCGGGGGCATTGCTGAGCACAAGAGTCCAAGTCAATGAAAATCCTGGGGGCTTGAGGGAGCCATATTTTGAATTCTATTCTGTTCTATCCTGGAATTGGTAGGTTCTGTTTAAAAGTTCCAATCCTGACTTTCCTACAGGTAAACTAAAAGAATAATCTTTCATTTATTCAGTCCAAATTCAGCCCTTTTTGCTATTGTCGTTTGGAAGCAGCAATTAATCTTGAAGGATGAAAGGATTGTGTGGTTAGAAAAGACGATTGGGGAAAACAGTGTTTTTCAAGAGTATCTGTATACATTTTCCTCTCGAATAAACTGAATTCACTAAATAAATTAGATCCCACGAAAGCATAATTTTCTAATTCATCAACTAATTAATCACAGATGCAATGACTGAGCCCGAATGATTTTTTTTACCACATAGATATAAATTATTATTGTGCAAGTGAAAAACAATTTATTTTTAAAATAATGAATGAAAA